TAAACACAACATAAAAAAGAGAAACCCCCCAACTTCTTTGAAGTAATTTTGGGAAAATTAATCCCATCTCCAATCTTCATTTATGGTTCAGAGGATACAGAGCAATAGCAGTTAGGCTTATATACTGCTTCATAGGGCTTTCAGCCCTCTCTAAGCGGTTTACAGAGTCAGCATATCGCCCCCAACAACAATCTGGGTCCTCATTTTACCCACCTCGGAAGGATAGAAGGCTGAGTCAACCCTAAGCCGGTGAGATTTGAACCGCTGAGCTGCTGATCTAGCAGTCAGCTGAAGTAGCCTGCAGTGCTGCATTTAACCACTGCGCCACCTCGGCTCAGAGAAATTTCTCACCGGTGAATCTCAGTATCAGCGTTCCAGAAAGACCCAATTCCAGTGAAAAACTCCCGAGGGAGGTATTTTCTCAAAGCTCCCATTTATTAGAGTAGGCCCATACAGGCACATCTGGGAAAACCCAAATCTGAGATTTCCGGACTTTCCCTCAGTAAGCCAAAAGTCCAAACCCAACCCCTGCACCCCTCAGTCCTTCCCATGGTCCAATCCCCATCCGTCCCAACTCGAGAGGTCACTCCAGCCACTCCTCCTCCAGATGCAGGAATACCCTGACCTTGACCGAAAGAAGACTGCTATTATGTCTAACTACATTCCCTCCACTAAATCTCCCCTCCTTAATTTCCAAAGCAGAAAAATGTGGCAGCGTGGAAGCTTCCAGGGTTAATATGGCTTCCAAAGCTGATACTCAGTTCTGATTCCTTTTGACTCAGGATGGTGTAATGAAAAATCTTTAGCAAAATCTAAGATGTTTTACAATGTTTGCATCCTGTTTAAAGAAAGTGAATTTTAGAATTGAGTTTGAGTTTGAAAGGCAACCATATATTTTGTCCCTACTTAAAAACAGAAAAAGTTGAAATGCAACAGGAATAGTCAAACCTTCCCTCAAATCTTGTTTTGACTCAGAATGATAAATCCTCTACACCTGCTTTAAAGTCCAACACTCCCACGCCAAGGAGTGATGTACCGACGCCTGGGACAAGCAGCACTCCAGGCCTCCGACCGGCGCCAGGGAAGCCCCCTGGAATGGATCCCTTGGGTAGGTTGTGTTTCTCCTTGATCCACGGCTCTGCTTGCATCAAAAGATGGAGGGAGAGGTTTGGATTTTGAGGGCGGTTCATAAGACTCAGAATGGCGGACAAGAGGGGATCATCCAGACCCAGTTCAAGACCCAGCTGTTACAGCCCCTTCTCTTTAAAAGCCTCCAGTGCTCCATCAACTCCTGTCTCAGCTGGTCTGGGGCTGAACAGCTCTTGCTCCTCAGAATTTTTTCTTGCACCCTGGCCGAAATTGGCTTCCTTGTCCTCTCCTCAGGGACCTTCCCCTGGGACTTCGGACAAATCACGGTACCAGCCTTGTTTCTTTTGCTCAATTTGATTGCGCAATCTTGCATTTTGTTTTTGACCATTTGCCTATTCTTTGACTCTTTCTAGCATCTGCCTTAAGGACCCCCATCTCCCTTGCTAGCTCTTATGCTGCCCCCTTTGCCATGATGGGGCATCACGAGATGAATGGTTCCCTTGCCAGCCCTGGGGCCTATGCAGGATTGCACAACATCCCCCCTCAAATGACAGCTGCCGCCGTAGCCTATGGCCGGTCACCCATGGTGAGCTTTGAAGCTGTACGTAGGCCTTTACGCTCCTATCTATAGGGGGGCGGGGGGAGCACATGGTTACCCCTGCAGGAAAGGAGAATGCTCGTTTCTTTTCTTTCTTTTTTTTCATTGTTAAAATGCAAACTTAAAAAAAGGGGGGGACACAAAACAAAGCAAAACTAGAAATGTGCATAAAAAGAAGAAAAATCATATGCCTGAATTGTTCCCCCAATTGGAATACCGATAAATACATTTCAAGAATAATACCCACCCACCCCTACAAAACAGGACAGAGTTTATGAACTTCTACAGCTCCGTTTACCCTGGGAAGTGGGCTGGGGGCTCCAGAAGGGCCTGGGGGCTGTGGCTTACCTTCAAAGCCAGAGCCACTCAAGGAGGAGGTCAGGGTATCTTGGATCAGTGGATCTGAGCTACTGCCAGCCTCTCACCTGAGGGGAGGCCTAGTTTTAGGACCAAGGGATCTGGATGAAGGCTTTCTTTATGGATGCCCAGATGTTCTGCAATTAAAACAACATCATGCAGATAACCTAGCGGGGAATTGGTATCTGTGCCATGCATTCTCCAAGTGGCATCTTAGGAGCCTTTGAGATGGAGGACCTGCACTGCAGATCTCTTGGTTGGGATAGTTCTTCTCTGTCCTGCCTCTGATCGCTTGTGTTGAAATTCCAGGGGTTGAGGGGAAGACCCTTGTCTCCCTAGGATCAGAAATTGAGGCTGAAATCTTGTTTCTAGGTTGGCTTTGACCCCCATCCACCAATGAGGACGCCTGTCCTGCCCTCCATTTCTGGCGGCAAACCGTAAGTTGCTCTAAGCCTTTGTCCCCAAGTTCAAACTAAGAAAGGCAGCTTCTTAATAAAGATGGGGGTGGGATGGCTTCCAGAATGTGGCAAGTGCCACAAAGAAAGCCTGTAGGTGAGAATGATCTGTGGGTCTTTCCCAACAAGAACCAGCAGAGTCTTGAGGATGGAGCCTAAGGCAACCCTTGGTTTGTGGGTCGCGGTTAATTCAATTGTTGATAAGACTCTGGACAACAAGAGCTGTCCTTGTCTTCTCCCCCCCCACCCCCCGTCCTCTTCCCCAGAGCTTACTCCTTCCACCTCAGCACAGATGGGCAGATGCAGCCGGTTCCCTTCCCTCAGGATGCCCTTGCTGGCCCTGGCATCCCCCGCCACGCCCGTCAGATCAATACCCTGAGCCATGGTGAGGTGGTGTGTGCCGTGACTATCAGCAACCCTACCAGGCATGTGTACACAGGGGGAAAGGGCTGTGTGAAGATTTGGGATATCAGCCAGCTGGGCACCAAGAACCCCATCTCCCAGCTAGATTGCTTGGTAAGTGGCAGGGCTGGCAATTGTTTGAGCCTTGATTATAACCTGCATCAAGATCTGCACAAGGACGTCAGGCTGTCATTACCTACTGAGCTGTCAAGCAGGCTACTTGTGAGGCTCCCACCTCCAGTGGCTTCTGCTTGAAACAAACAACACACACACACACACACACACACACACACACACACACACACACAAACACACAAAATCATCATCTTACATTACATCTTGTAGAAAGCCTTCCTACTGAGGCTTGACTTTCGGAAACCAATCCCCCACTGTAGGGAAGAGGAACCGATTAGGTGGGGTTTTCATGGGTTTTCAGACGGCGCTTGGGGTGATACCTGACACTCTCGTCCACAGTCCGGTCGAGTCCTTAGTCGCTGCTTGGAATACAGCGGCGACGGAGGCTCTAAACCGGATTGCGCCTTTGCGGCCTCTCCGAGGTAGCGGATCCAGGAGAGCTCCTTGGTTTACCAAGGAACTCCGGGAGATGAAGTGCCAAAAGAGACGCCTAGAGCGCTGCTGGAGGGCCAGTAAATCTGAGTCAGACCGAGCACTGATGAGAGCCTATATCAGAGCCTATCTCGGGGCAATACGGGCATAGAAATGTGCACATTT